TTTAATAAAAATTTAAAGTCTCCTAAAAAAGAAAAAAATTAAATTTTTGACCCTCTTTAAGACGATAACTTTTAATGTGGCGTTTTAGAAAATTCAACCACAAATTCATAGAGGTATCCCACGTCTAAATCGGGGTGCAATATCTCAAGTTAAGTAACCTAGAAGTGCAGTTTTGGGTTCCCATTCTGAAACCCATAGGAACTACGGAAAAATCGAACATGAAAATGGGTTAAAGTTTTGACCGTCTTTAAAAAGATAACTTTTAATGTAGCGTTAAAGAAAATTCAAACACAAATTCATAGAGGTATCCCACGTCTAAATCGAGATCCAATAACTAAAGATATGGAATTTTGAAGTGTAGTTTTGGGTTCCCATTCTGAAATCCATTGAAACTACGGAAAAATCGAACATGAAAATGGGTCAAAATTTGGACCCCCGAGCAAACGAAATATTTTAATGTAGATTATAAGAGAATTTAACCACAAACTCATAGAGGTATCCCACGTCTAAATCGGGATCCAATAACTAAAGATATGGAATTTTGAAGCGCAGTTTTGGGTTCCCATTCTGAAATCCATTGAAATTACGGAAAAATCGAACATGAAAATGGGTTAAAATTTGGACCCCCGCGCAAAAGAAATATTTTGATGTAGATTATAAGAGAATTCAACCACAAACTCATAGAGGTATCCCACGTCTAAATCGGGATCCAATAACTAAAGATATGGAATATTGAAGTCCAGATTTTGGGTTTACATTCTGAATGACATTGGAAATACGGAAAAATCGAACATGAAAATGAGTTAAAATTTGGACCCCCGCGCAAAAGAAATATTTTTATGTAGATTATAAGAGAATTTAACCACAAACTCATAGAGGTATCCCACGTCTAAATCGGGATCCAATAACTAAAGATATGGAATATTGAAGTCCAGATTTTGGGTTTACATTCTGAATGACATTGGAAATACGGAAAAATCGAACATGAAAAAGAGTTAAAATTTGGACCCCCGCGCAAAAGAAATATTTTTATGTAGATTATAAGAGAATTTAACCACAAACTCATAGAGGTATCCCACGTCTAAATCGGGATCCAATAACTAAAGATATGGAATTTTGAAGTCCAGTTTTTGGGTTCCCATTCTGAAATCCATTGAAATTACGGAAAAATCGAACATGAAAATGGGTTAAAATTTGGACCCCCGCGCAAAAGAAATATTTTGATGTAGATTATAAGAGAATTCAACCACAAACTCATAGAGGTATCCCACGTCTAAATCGGGATCCAATAACTAAAGATATGGAATATTGAAGTCCAGATTTTGGGTTTACATTCTGAATGACATTGGAAATACGGAAAAATCGAACATGAAAATGAGTTAAAATTTGGACCCCCGCGCAAAAGAAATATTTTTATGTAGATTATAAGAGAATTCAACCACAAACTCATAGAGGTATCCCACGTCAAAATCGGGATCCAATAACTAAGGATATGGAATTATAAAGTCCAGTTTTTGGGCTTACATTCTGAATGCCATTGGAAATACGGAAAAATCGAACATGAAAATGGGTTAAAACTTGGACCCCCGCGCAAAAGAAATATTTTAGTGTAGATTATAAGAGAATTCAGCCACAAACTCATTGAGGTATCCCACGCCTCAATCGGGATCCAATAACTAAAGATATGGAAGTTTGAAGTCCAGTTTTTGGGTTTACATTCTGAATGACATTGGAAATACGGAAAAATCGAACATGAAAATGGGCTAAAATTTGGACCTCCGCGCAAAAGAAATATTTTAATGTAGATTATAAGAGAATTCAACCACAAACTCATAGAGGTATCCCACGCCTCAATCGGGATCAAATAACTAAAGATATGGAATATTGAAGTCCAGTTTTTGGGTTTACATTCTGAATGCCATTGGAAATACGGAAAAATCAAACATGAAAATGGGCTAAAATTTGGACCCCCGCGCAAAAGAAATATTTTAATGTTCATTATAAGAGAATTTAACCACAAACTCATAGAGGTATCCCACGTCAAAATCGGGATCCAATAACTAAAGATATGGAATTTTGAAGTCCAGTTTTTGGGTTTACATTCTGAATGCCGTTGGAATATGGAAAAATCAAACATGAAAATGGGCTAAAATTTGGACCTCCGCGCAAAAGAAATATTTTAATGTAGATTATAAGAGAATTCAACCACAAACTCATAGAGGTATCCCACGTCTAAATCGGGATCCAATAACTCAAGATATATAATCCAGAAGTGCAAAAGACAGGTCTAAGAAAAAGCCCTAATTTGAAAATTTTGAATACACTGTTTTTGACACTGTGCAACCAACAAATCATTCGACAAGCATTCTCTTAGCCCCTCAGCGCATCTTCTGAAACCAGTAGTCAATAGTTGAGGTATTTTATTATCTATAAATTGTATCGGCTGTGATAGATGCATATCTTAGAGGTTGCATCTTAATGTTGCCGCCACAAAAAGGCTCCAGATACTCAGAGATACCGAGTTACAATAACTGCAATCGATGCCATATAGAGAGCACGTGTTGGCGACAGTTTATTGAGGCAGTCATCTTGAATGTCAACTAGTCCGAGTCGGTAAAAAAATAGATACAGAAAAAGAAACATAAAGCCGAGACTTTAGTAACTGTCATTTATCTATGAAGAAGTTGCTGGCTAGTAAAGGTTATTGGAGCAGCAGATACAAGTTTACATTCTATTCGACATTGAGGTTTTGGCACAAGAGGTATGCGTACTGCATGTGTACACCTGTCTTGAGTTGAGATCTAGTTAGCCAGCGGAAACTTCCTTCCGGCATTTCCCACTTCTTGACCTTAACTGCCGGAGAATCCGCCCCCAAAGGCGGCACCTGTCCGATCTTATTTTTCGTATCAGTTAGATTAATGGAGCCCACGTATGAGAGATTCACCCTTTTGTTATTTTCGGTTCGAGCTCGAAATGCGCACATTTAAACGCTCCGCTGATCTCTGATCTTTGATAAATTCTTTTTCCCGCACCCAGCGTTTTTGAACCATTTTCTCGGATGTCTCTGTTTTGATAGCTTAGCATTTGTCTGAACCAAAAACCACGTTGTACCCATTAAGAGATCAATATTTGGCATTGTTTCGTTTCGTTCGCACGTTAAAGATGACGGAAATGCGAAGATTTGTTGCATGCGGAAGCCTCCGAGCACTCATCTCTTGCGACTTAAATGTTTTAACTTATGGTTTATTTGTTTATTGTCTTTGCCGAAGAAGAGACGCCCCCGAACTCGTGACCGCACTGGAGGGCAGCACCGCCGGGGGCACCTTTCTGCGGTGGCTTCCCTTCCAGCGGGGCGTAAAAGTAAAAGTGCGTAAGAGGATAGGGAAATTGCGGTTTTCCAAGTGCACACATTGACCTTGCCAAGCTGGCAGTTTGTTATTGAAAATGTAACCATTAGAAAGGAGACCATCAATGAAGATTGAAATCAATTTTGACATTTGAAAGGCTTTTTAAATTTTAAAAAATGTTGAAATAATTAGCCAATGCGCAGTCTTTTCTTATAAAACACAATAAGATTGGGAACCTACATATAGTATTTAAATGCTGATAAGCTTGGCATTTTAAGTAACATAAATTTTACAACTGGCCTTGAATAATTAAAAATATTTCAGATAACAAAATGTTGATTCAATCAGAAAATAAAAAGGAATTTTTTATACTTTTCTAATATCTAGAGCCACTGGTAAACAACTAAGTAAAGATATCATTAAGACGAAAAACTCTATGGTATTAACATAGCAAAATATCTATTAATGGTCTTAGTTATGCTATTCTAGAGCTCAAAAATAGACTATAACTCCTATCATCTCAGAAAGCAGCCAAAAAGCATACATTAAAATCAAATATTTATCTAAGCTTCTAACAAACAAGTTCAAAAGAGAGCTTAAAGTTATAAAGAAATACGCAGCCCAAAAGTTTCCTACAATAAAAAGTAGAAGAAATATTCAATGAGAAGGTAGTGGGTAGGTGGGGCTTACTACCCACAAGTAATCCTTTCTTCGGCATACGCAAAAGTATATCCAAACTCACATTTAAAGAAATGAAGAATGTTTTGTTAAAATTTAAGATACGCATTATTTTATTTTAAAATTTCACGTTATCTCACAATTTAATTTAACTAATTTCATTAAAATTTAAATTAACTAATTTGAAATGAAATAAGAATGAAGATATATACCAATCTGTTAATTCCAAATGGATGTCAAGGCAAATCAAAGCCCATCTTAAGATGAAAATGCACGTTTTTGAAGTGTACAGATGTCGGAGTTCTTCAACTGACAAATAATAAGTTAATAAACACCAACTGGTTATTGGCTGATCCATTGCTAATCAATCGAGAATGCTTACCTTCACCTTTTTCAATCACGCCCACAAATTAGCCAGCTCGATAATTGTCAATCAAGTGGCGTGATATCTGCGAAGTGCCTTACCCATCAATTTCCATAACTTTCATAATGAATTGCAATCATAATTAGCCATAGTCGGAATAAATTGCTGGTTGAAAGTGAATGTGTTTTTGATCAGAGTTAGTAATCAACTATACAATGTGATTCATATCTAATTTAAACCAACGTGCTAAGTATTCATTTCTTTAAAAATAAATTTTATTTTATTATATATTATAAAATTAAATATTTAAGAAGGCAATACTTAGGTATAGCTCCTTTTTGTAATTTTTAGAGTTTTTATATTGGGGCCCGTGTTGGATTTCAAATCTACTCCTAGTTAAACATGAGGATAAACTTATATCGAAGCAGAATTAATCTTGCTGTTCAAAAATTTTGAAAATGTTTTAAACTATTTAATATTCATTAGAAGGGATATGATATATCCTTTTCCCCCGCAAAAAAAATCATGATATTTGAATTTTTATAATTCTCTATATTTCGTATTTATAGCATTGTCAGCGTTTCGGCTTCAAACTTAAACTATACACAAAATTATTATAATACATGTGCTGTTTTATTATTTTTTTACATTTTGTTCGTTTTTCTTCATCTTTTTCAGGTTGGTTGGCATGATGGGCGTTTGTTCTTCACTCGTTTTCTTCCTTTTTTCGGTATGTACAATATAAAAGAGAAGCTTGGATAACAAACAAAAGAGAGAATTGCGCGAAAGCTGAGACAGAGACGGCAATGTGTGTGTGTGTGAGAGAGTGAGGAAGACAGATGCCGAAGGGGATTCCCCTTGCAGGATATGCGATGAACATGACTGGGTAACTGAGTATTTTAGCAGGCTTCGTCAGTGGATCGATCAGATCATCCGTTTGTGAGGTCGTCAACGTGCTTAATAAATTACAGAAGAGTGGTGAGGAGGTGGTGGTGCATTTAGTGGTGCTTCCTGGGTGTCATTTCCAATCCTTAGTAGTGGGCCACATGCGCGTGGGCGTTGTGGGTGGCATAGCCGTAGGCGGGCACGGCGGCATGATGCGCCAGGGAGCCGGCATAGGGCACGGCGGGGGCGGCGGCCACATGGTGGGCAATGGCCGGGGCGTAGGACAGCTGGGGAGCGGCATGGGCCACCACGGCGGGAGCGGCATGGGCCACCACAGCGGGAGCGGCATGGTGCACAGTGGGGCCGGTCTTGTGGACCACGGCGTTGAAGCCGTTGTGGTCATCGGCGGTGTACTCCACGGTGCGCACCGAACCATCGGGCTCCACCAGGGAGTAGGATCCCTTCACCACATCGCCATCGCGCACCTCGTGCTGGGACTTCACATCGCCGGTGTGGGAGTCAGCCACTCCGTAGTTGTAGTGGTACTTGGGGTAGGCCTGCGGATCGGGGATTGCAAACATAATGATTCCATGAGAAGAGTGCTCGCATTCGGTGCTAATTTTATGTGCATGGCATGCCACACGCCACTCAAAAGGCAAAAAAAAACTATGGCTATGCTAATGGAGTTGGCGTGGGAAAATGGCCAAATGTCAGAAGCCACAATGACCCTGGACCAACAGCTTCCAAAGTGCTGGCCAGAGGAGCGGGTGAAAGGCCATGCAGATTTACCATTACCAGTTGATGGTGGTGTTAATTTTGGTGTATAATAAAAATAATTCTATGATGGTTTTTGAAGTTTTTCTGGCTTCCTAGTCGTATGCGTAATTTTTCATGCAAAAGGATTACAGGTCGTATGAGTAATATTTAAGAGGTAAGATCTTAGCATGCATTTCCAAGGTGAGGTTTGTTTTCTTTAATTTGAATGATTTAATTATGACTTTAAAATTAGTTTTTAGGTTTAAAAAATATTTAAAAATTAATGGAAAGTATAAGCATTCTTTAAATGTAAAATAAGATTGAAAGTAGGTAAAACATGGTTGTATGGGGCATATTCTTAGGATATGAATGTATTTAACTTTAAGCTTTTCAATTCAAAAGGCAATGCTTTATGGATTCAAATTGATTCAATTGTTTACTAGGACCAGGCAGGTGAATTAAAAAAAAATTAAGTTTTAAAAAGGTAGTTTGAAATATTTTGGAAGTAAAGTAAATATTTACATATATTTAGGATGCATTTCATTATGGTTTTAGTAAATTTTTTTAATTTTTATTATCCTTCATTTAGGTTTAAGGATCCATTAGTGGTTTACTTGGGTGGTTACTTGAGTGATTACTTGGCCACTTACATGGTAGTCAATTCCCTCGTCGTGGTGTCCATGGCCGGCGTAGATGGCCGGGGCGGCGGCGTAGAGACCAGCTCCATGTCCGTGGAGGACTCCGGCGGAGGCGGCGCTCAGGACGGCCAGGCAGATCAGGGACTAAATCACAAGGGGGGGATATATGTATTATTTATCGGTTGAGTGGATCACAGGGCACTTTTGCTATCACAGGGCTATTATATCCTGTTCACTCACTTTGAAGAATGCCATTGTTTGGTTTTCGGGATTTCTTAGATTTCTTTTGCAGACGCGAGTGTGTGCTGAACGTTGAGCTGGATTCAACTGATAACTAGAACCCAGAAGGAAGCCGCTTTTATATACAAGACAACGCCCGAGCGGCCCAAACACGAACCGAGCCACAAAAAGCCGAATGCGAGTCGGTCAGCGGCGGCACAACAAAAAATATACAATAAAATACCTGGCAAAAGCCAAGCTTTGCGGAGCGAAGCCCAAGAAGTTGAGGCCCCCGTAACGCCCCTGCAAAGCCCCCACAACAATCCACAATTATTTAATGCTTTTCGAGAAAAAAATCGAGAGTGAAGTTCAGTTCAGATGTGGAGCGAACTGGCTGTGGTTTGTCTTTGGAAATTGTCTGATTTGTGAGATAACTCGCGATGTATGTAAATCGAAGTCGAAATAATTGTGAAATGGAAGGGAAAACCTCAAATTGGATAATACCTATTCGACATTCGATACGCGTTCTATCAGCCAAAACAAATATTAACATATCAAATTGGCCATTATTAAGGCATATTAATTATGAAATCATGATCAGAAAAAAGGTTGGCAATCTATGTATTTTCATCTCCCATCACGATTTAATTGAAATGGCCTCTCTAAGCTCCCTCGCAAAAAAACAATCTTAAGGCACGAATAATATTAGCCGTAAACACAAATATTTATGAATAAAATAAGACAATGGCTGAAATAAGTTAAAATTGCATTTCGGTGGGCGGAGGTGTTGCTCCCCCTCAAAAACCCCCTCCCCACCCCCATGGTTTTGCTTCAGCATGTTGCAATTTGTTCGCTCGTCTGTTTCGTGGGTTTCCAAGACGATGTTTCCATGTTCTAAGTTTTCTTTTTGTTTTTTGGTTGCAGCGGGCGTCGTCTATCAAATCTTTCAATGGTACACTATAAAAATGTGAGTTCAAAACTTTTTATTAAAATGTTTTCGAAATTTTACCAAAATTTTAGGTCATAACAAAATGAAAATAATTATTTAAAAGAGCAATAATCAAAACTAACAAAGCAATAAGAAAAAGATAAAAAGTTATTAAACGTTTCTTTTACAACACGTTCTACTTAAATCCTCACCAAAATGTTATTATGTTTTTATGTCTGTAAGGTGTTTTTTCAAGATCTTTAATCACGATTTCTTCCAGTGCACTAGATGTTGTTCCTACTGCATTTTTTTTAATTGCCATGTAGGCCGTTTGGCTTATTAAACCAATCTTGCGCAAATGGGAAGGCAAGAGGAGTGTGCCATAGAGATAGAGAGGGCACCACCCGAAGACGCTGTAGAAACGTGGCGCCACATCATTATGGCCAAAATATCCGTCAGTGCAGCCCCAACTCATTACCAGGCCAAAAGTACGAAAAAAACTAAAAAACCAAATCGTTTTGTTTTGTCATATTTTTGGGGGCTGCCTTGCTTTGTTTTATGGCATATTTGCTGGGCTTATGCTACGTACTTGCCCTGCTTTGCCTCATTTAATAAATTGTCTCGAATTAGTAAGCTCGGCTCTGACTTCCCCCTTTGGACCCCTCTCCACGCCTAGTTGGCCATCGCGAACTAAAAAAATTGAAGTAATCATCTCAAGGTTAGCACGACACAGCAACGACGAACGGCAAACGACGTGTAACGGATCACTAACAGTTGTAATCGCCACAGGAGCGTAGCCCAAAAAGGGGTATACATCTCAACCAAATTATCCAGATTGTTTGATAACAATAGATAGATAGATACTTTAATACTAAATGCAATTAAATTAAATATTAAGAGGACATATAGTGTTAGCCATTCCTAATAGATCTTATATACTGTGAGCCCAAAATATTTCCAGCTTCGCAAAATGCATAAACCAATAAATCCATAACTGTTTCCGTCATAAATATATTTATATACCATTTTGAAACCCCCCTTTTTAATAAAGCCCCTGAAAATCCAAACGTAATCTCTGAGTCCAACTTAGGCTGCCTGAATTAGAGCACGATCTGATTACGTCCTTTGTTTACTGAAAATGACGCACCACCATGGCCAATTAATTGAATTTTTGCAGTCGAGACTTTGAAAAAGTAGGTTTCGATTGGATTCGAGCAAAAGTGCAGTAATTGATTGCCTTTTGATGGATGATTGAGCCATATTTGGGAAGAGGTAGGGCCGAGGATTGGTTGGTATGGATTGTTCGATAGAATATAACCGATAAAGAATAGCTTTCATTACAAGTGCTGACTAAGTACCCACTGTAAAACCAGTTCACTCCACTTCCTTGATAAGAGGTTTCGTTTCCTAGGTATGCACTGACCCGTTAGTTAAATGTGTGGAAATTCCTTGAACAATCATAAGCCACTCACAGCAGCAGCAGAACCAAGTCCAGTTGAAACAGACTAGACTAGACTAGTCTAAACCCAACAATGACAATTACAAATTCGTGAATGCGAAACTCTTTGGTCGTATGGCGCGTTTCCTTTTCGATTTAATTATTCACCCCTTCCGCTGCATTTCAGATTTCAGTACAGATCCGCTCCACATGTGCGCAAATGCATATCATATGTATCTCAGCAGTTATGAGTCAGGCGAGGAGTTCCAGAGACCACCCAGTCCAAGTCGGCAGCCGGATTCGCAGAATCATAGAATCGCAACGCCCAAGTGGCCTGCAGCAGTTGCAATAATCTTGGCCAGATCTGGGCTCTCGTCATGTCAGCGGGCCAAGATCTGAGAGCCAAGATCCGAGTCTCTGGCCACTTGAGTGGAGATCTGGCCATATTTTTCTAGCTGCGGGTGCATGACGTAAACGGTCGTCGTGATTTTGAGGTGTCGGCTAAAAAGTCAGAGAGCATTTGCCTAAACTCCACGGAGAAAAATTTGTGGATAGGGAATTTTTAGAGTATAAATCCGACAAGTGATGCTATTTCTTTAAGCTATTTTCGGCTTAAGAATAATTTATTTAGATATTTTTTTTAACTTAATAAAATGTTTTAGTTAAAGGGGAACGCAATCTTACATTTAAATTTTTTTCGTAATAACCTATACAAGTTTAAGAGTTTGTTTTATCTATCTAGTCTAATAAAATTCCTTATAATATTAAGAATACCAAACAGGTTATCTACCTATCTAAAAATTTTAGCTTTCAAGGTGATTAATCAGAATTTATATAACCTTATCCTCGATCGTATTTAAGGAATTTGTAATATAATATCTATGAAGTTTTATCATTGACATGCTTAGTTATCAAGCTTAAGTTTAAGTTATTATAAAATCTCCACAGTTTCTCAGTAATTTCTCGCAGTGCAGGTGCTCAATCTCCGCTGAAATACCTCAAGTTGATATATATTCAAACAAATTTGTTGTGATTAAAGCAATTTGTGTGCGTTGCCGTAGCTGCACTAGCTGTTCGCCTGCTGATTGAGTGGCAAATGTTTGCAGCTTTTCCTCACATTGTTGTTTCTATTTTTGACGTGTGTGTGCGCAATATGCGAAACAAGTTCGTTGCCCAAGTCATTCGTTTGAATTTGAGTTTCGTTCTGTCAGATGTCTTGCGAAATTCTCACTGCCCGATGGTAGTGAGTTCACAAGTCAACAGTGAATGCAGAACGTAGGTTATAATTTAAATTAATCATGCAAAACTGTATTGCAATTAACATATTGAACTAAACCCAAACGACAACTCGGCAATTAACATTTACTCATGATTTGCTTTGATCATTTTCGACCAGCGGCTACTACGCTTTGTGGTAGAAAACCACAAAATAAAATAACAAAAAAAGTAACAATAGCTACTGCAGTAATTGAAGAAACTGGTGACCTTGACCAACGCCGAATGGAATTCGTTGGAAATCAAACTGCAATCAATAAACAAAAGAGTTCAACTGTTAGGTAGGAAAAAGGGAAAAAAACGTAATTGATTAATGAAATCACAGGGGCATTTATAATGCTTGTCATACAGATTTCACTTAAAATCTGATAATGCGGCAAAGAAAATCTGTTTTTTCCTCTCCCCCAAAAAAGTAAAGTGCACCCACCAAAAAACCCAAGGTCAAAACAACTAAGCTTTTCCCTTACAAATTGTAGTTTTTGTAAATGGTCTAAGATCTGTGATCTGGGTTTCAATTTTCTGACGCCTAATGCCGAATCTTTCAGTGGGCGTTTGGCTTATCAGCCGTCCAATTACAAAAATGTGAGAGGGGAAGCGGCTGGTGAACAGAAAACAGCTTAATCCGTGCAATTATGTCGCTCGAAATTTACATAGATCGGCTCTATTGTTCCGCGGATCTAGCAGATCGACCTTCAGGCGGTGGCCCAGACCAGAGCAGACCAGGCTTAGAATGGACCCCCAGCCCCATACCATGACCAGGCCAACAGTGAAGCCTGCACAGAAAAAAATAAACTGAGGATACATTTTTTATTCACTTGGAAAATGTATAAAGGTTAATTTAGACCATCGAATAATATATACTTGACATAATGAACGGAATTTCTTGGTTGTCATCCCTTTGAAAATTATCTCAAAGCTCCTTAAGTTACTCTGGGTATTTTACTAGATTTCCTAAAAAATGATTATCATATCCTATCAATTTTTTTCTCTGTCTGGGGACCCAATCCTCGGTCGGATTTCGGTCTGCACTCAGCTTTTCGCAATGCATTCACTGCAGTCTGCTGTCCACGGGGGGCGTGGCGCTTTACAAAATTTCCGCTTTGGGTTTCTCGGATCGAATTGGTTTCTATATGGTTTTGTAATTGTCTGGCCATTGTCATTTTTGTTGTTGAAATTTGTGTGGCTCAGTTTGCTGATTTATTGGCCCTCGATAAAGTGCATTGTTTGAGATCTCTGGCATATAGCATTATTCACCATATCCGGCTAAGAACGGTTCCGAGATAGATATATATTTCATACCTGGCTCGCTTGCAACACACAATCGAGAGGCAAACCGCAACAGAGATGTCTCGCAGTCCCAATCTGCCGCATCTGATGATCCAAGCACCCCCAACCCCAAATCCCACGACTGGGTTAACCGCAGCACCAGTGTTGCCAATCGCTTCTTGCACAACTGCCGCAAAGTGTGGCTGCCCTGTAAT